TGTACTTAGTTTCTCAACTATGAAGTTGCTTTCTATTTCTTTATGGGGAGACAGTTGTAGACTATGTAAATGTCCTATTTCTCATCAAACTTAGACCTGTTAGTGTTAGCATTTGATGATGATTCTTGCCTGAATCAATTATTTGCATAATGCTTACAAATTGTCATTCCTTCCATATATATTAGTTGGTGTTCTTCCAAAAGCCTTTTGATTGCCTCTGTTTATTTACTTATTTATTATCACTGTGGACTCTTAGATTCTTATGCTGTTGATTTTGATACTGATCTCATAGCTAGATAATTTTGATAAACTTAAAAAAAAATGTATGCAGTTTATCTTTTATAGCAGCTTTAAATTTATAGAAAATTTGAGTGGAAGATGCAGTGTTCCCATAAAGCCACTAACTCCTCACACCTTCCACCGAGTTTCCCCTAATATTAACATCTTGCATTAAAGTGGTGCATTTGCTACAGTTGATGAGTCAACATTCATACATTAATATTGTCCAGAGTCTATTGTTTACATTCAAGTTCCTCTTCATGTTGTTCATTCTGTGGTTTCACAGACGTGTGATGCATGTGCCCACCACTGCAGTGTCACACAGGATTTCACTGCCCCAGAGTCCTCTGCACTGTCCCCGCCTCCGGAACCCCCACAGGATTTCACTGCCCCAGGTCCTCTGCGCTGTCCCCGCCTCCAGAACCCCCACAGGATTTCACTGCCCCAGTGTCCTCTGCACTGTCCCCACCTCCGGAACCCCCACAGGATTTCACTGCCCCAGAGTCCTCTGCACTGTCCCCACCTCCGGAACCCCCACAGGATTTCACTGCCCCAGAGTCCTCCGCGCTGTGCCCGCCTCCGGAACCCCCACAGGATTTCACTGCCCCAGAGTCCTCTGCGTTGTCCCCACCTCTGAACCCCCACAGGATTTCACTGCCCCAGAGTCCTCTGCGTTGTCCCCACCTCTGAACCCCCACAGGATTTCACTGTCCCAGAGTCCTCTGCGTTGTCCCCACCTCTGAACCCCCACAGGATTTCACTGCCCCAGAGTCCTCTGCACTGTCCCCCCCCCACAGGATTTCACTGCCCCAGAGTCCTCTGCGCTGTCCCCGCCTCCGGAACCCCCACGGGATTTCACTGCCCCAGAGTCCTCTGTGCTGTCCCCGCCTCCGGAACCCCCACAGGAATTCACTGCCCCAGAGTCCTCTGCGCTGTCCCCGCCTCCGGAACCCCCACAGGATTTCACTGCCCCAGAGTCCTCTGCGCTGTCCCCGCCTCCGGAACCCCTTAGTAGCAAACACTGATATTTTTACTGTCTCCATAGTTTTGCCTTTTCAGACTGATCTCTTTCACTTGGTAATAAGCATTTAAGGTTCCTGAGTCTCTTTCCATGGCTCGATAGCACATTTCTTTTTAGTGCTGAATAATATCCTGTTGTCTGGGTGTACCACAGTGTATCCATTCACCTACTAAGGTGAATATCTTGCTTGCTTCCAAGTTTTGGCAACTGTGAATAAAGTTGCTGTCAATGTTGTCATGCACACAAGTTTTCAGCTCATCTGGGTAAATGCCAAGGAGCGTGATGGCTGGATCCTGTGATAAGAGTGTGTTTAGTTCTGTAAGAAGCTGCCAAACTGTATTCTAAAGTGGCTGCACCATTTGCGTTTCCACCAGCAATGATGAGCGTTCCTGTTGCTCCACATCCTCACCAGTATTCGCTGTTGTGTTTTGGGTTTGAGCCTTTCTAAGAGGTGTGTAGTGGTATCTCCTTGTTTCAATTTGCAATTCCCTAATGACATTATGTTAAAATCTTGTCGTATAGTTATTTGCCATCTGTATACCTTTTTCAATGACGTATCTGTTAAAGTCTTTGGCTCATGTTTAAATTGGGTTTTCTTATTGTTAAGTTCTAGTTCTTTGTATATTTTGGCCGCCAGTCCTTTATCAGATATTTTTTTCACAAGTATTTTCTGCCTGTGTCTTGTCTTTTCATTCTGTTAGTAGTATCTTTTGCAGAGCCAGTTTTCATTTTAATGAAGTCCAGCTTATCAATGTTCTCTTTCATGTATCATATTTTTGGTGCTGTATCTAAAAAGTTACTGCCAAGCCCAAGGGTACCTAGATTTTTTTCCTGTGTTATATTCTAGGAGTTTTTAAGTTTTGCATTTTACATCTAGGTCCATGATTCATTTTGAGTTAACTTTTGTGAAGAGTTTATGGTTTGTGTTTAGATTTTTTTTTGCATGTGGATGTCCAGTTGTTTTGGCACCATCTGTCAAGAAGACTATTTTTGTACCATTTTGTTGCCTTTGTTTCTTTGTAAAAAATCAGTTGACTGCATTTGCATGGGTCTATTTCTGAGCTCTCCGTTCTGTTCCATTGATGTGTTTATTCTTCTCACCAATCCCACACTGTCTTGGTTCCTGTAGCTCTGGAGTAGGCCTTGACGTCGGTTACTTTTAGAGTTCCGTTTCAATAGTGTTTTGGCTATTCTGGGTTTTTTTCCCTCTCCATATACATTTTAGAATCTGTTTGTCGATAGTTTACAAAATAACTTGCTGAGACTTTGGTTGGGATTACACTGAATCTGTAGCTCAAGTTGGGAAGATCTTTTATTTCTTTCATCAGAATTTTGTAGTTTTCATCATATATAGATCTCATACATATTTTGTTGTTTATACCTAAGGATTTCATTTTTTTGGTGCTCATGTAAATGGCATTGTGTTTTAAATGTCAAAATCTCGTTGTTCATTGCTGATAGGAAGACAATTGACTCTTCTTCTTTTTTTTTTTTTATGTGAGATGCGTTCTCACTGTGTTGCCCAGGCAGGAGTGCGCTGGTGCCATCATAGCTCACTGCAGCCTCAAACTCCTGGGCTTAAGGAATCCCCGTCTCTGCCTCCTGAGTAGGTAGAACCACAGGCATGTGCTACCACGCTCAGCTAATTTTTAAACTTTTTTGTAGAGATGTGGTCTTGCTGTGTTGCCCAGGCTGGTCTCAAACTCCGCTGTCTGCTTTGAGATGATTATATATTTGTGTCCTTTGTTAATTTGTAGAGGATTATTATGGATTTTTCTTCAGACACCTTTGTATTTCTGAGATAGACCTTAGTATTGGTCTGTATTTAAAACAGTATTCAGTTTCTCAGTTTTGTTTTTGTTTTTGTTTGAGATGGAGGTTACTTCTAGTTCATGAACACACTTGTTTCTTCCGAGTAAATGCCTGGGAGTGGGATGGCTGGGTCATGTGACAGTGTATCTTTTTTTTAATTTTAATTTTAATTTTTATTTTTTTGAGATGGAGTCTCACTCTGTCGCCAGGCTGGAGTGCAGTGGCACAGTCTTGGCTCACTGCAAGCTCCGCCTCCCAGGTTCACGTCCGCCTCCCAGGTTCACGCCATTCTCCTGTCTTAGCCTCCCGAGTAGCTGGGACTACAGGCGCCTGCCACCACGCCCAGCTAATTTTCTGTATTTTTAGTAGAGATGGGGTTTCACCATGTTAGCCAGGATAGTCTCGATCTTCTGACCTCATGATCTGCCCGCCTTGGCCTCCCAAAGTGCTCGGATTACAGGCGTGAGCCACTGCACCCGGCTGCAGTTTCTCAGTTTTAATTTAGAGTTCTGTGTCTGTGTTCATGAGTGAGCCTGAAATTTTCACTTTTCCATATCTTATTTCTCTGGGTTCCTAGAATGAACTAGAGAGTGTTCCTCCCATGTCTGTTCTTTGAAAGAGTTTGTGTGAGATTAGAATGAGTGTATCTGATAATTTAGTAGCATTCATTTATAAAATTCCTAGGCCTAGAGTTTTTTCTGGAAAAAGTTTACATTTTGACTCATTCTTTTAGTAGTTTTAGTACTGTTTAGGTTCTCTATTTCTTGATTGAGGCAGTTTCGGTAGTTAATTTTTCTAATTTGTAGATTTTTCTCTAAGTTTGCAAATGTAATACATAAAATTTGCTTCTCATTTCTCACCATATCTGTAGTTCTATCCTTTTATCGCTAATATTACTAATTTGTACTTTGACTGTTTGTATTCGTTACCTGTTGCCAAGTAATAATATTAGTACAAACCTAGTGACTTAGAACAGCGCACATTAATTACTTCACCATTTCTGTTGGTCAGAAGTCCAGGCGTGGCCTCGCAGGTCGTCCTCTGCCTCAGGGTCTCTCCGGGCTTCAGTCAGGGTGTTAGCCAGGACTGGGGTCTCTCCTGAGCTTCCAATGAGGACAGATCTGCCTCTGAGCACACAGGGTCCTCGGCACGATCCTATTCCTCAGCTGGAGGCTACCGACGGCCGCTTGCTGCAGGGGCCTCTCTGGATGGCGTCTTCCCAAAAGCGAGAAGGGGGAGTTGGTAGAGGGAGTCTGCTAGCACCATGTGCAGTACCACAGACCTCGGTCCCAGGACCGACACCCATCAACCCTGCCGAGATCTGCTGGTTAAAGACAAGTCTCACGTCCCACAGGGTGACACTGGAGTAGACACTGCACTCCCGCCTTTTCAGAGAACCGGTTATTTTTTGGAAATATCAGTTAGATTTAGGATGGGTCTTCTTCGTCTTCTAAATCTATTGTTTTCTCTCTAATTGATTTTTTCCTGTTTTTATTTAGTTCACTTTTTTTGGTTTGCTCCTGCCTGGGTCACTGGATCTCAGTGATGCTGCTCCTGTTTGCAGCTGTGTCTGCAGGGGCTTCCCGAGGCCTTGCTTTCCCCTCACGTCCCTTTCTCGGACTCTGCTGTTTGCAGCTGTGTCTGCAGGGGCTTCCCGAGGCCTTACTTTCCCCTCACGTCCCTTTCTCGGACTCTGCCGATCTGCTTCCCGCTCTGGTGTCCTGTAGTTGCTTCTTTTTAAAACCCTCATAGGTCTGTGTAAACTGTTTATTTTTATGTGGTTTTTAAGGGAGACCATGCTCATTCTTTTGAGACCCTGGAATGGGTGGAATTGGGATAAACTGCCGTTTTACCGGAATGTTCACTGGACCAATCTCATGTGTTCCAGGGAGACCCTCACGCAGGGCTTAGAGTTCTGTCGGCGGCAGCAGAGGGCCGATGGCTCCTGGGAAGGGTGAGTGAGCTCCGCCCGTGAGTGCGGACATGCATGGAATCCGGAAGTTTCTGCTCTCAAACACTGCATTCATAAATGTTGGGTTGTATGTTGGTGCTGCACCAGAAGTTTCTGGAAGTGAGCTGCCAGCCTGTGACTTCTGGGGGACCTCGTTCCTTTGTGGCATGCCTGGCCTTTGCCCTGGTGAAAGTTGCTCAGTACGTTGCTGGGCACAGCCAGGCTGCTGGGAGCACGCTGTGGGCTGAGCGTGGCTGTTCCCCTCCACCCCTTCTGCTTGCTCTTAGGTGTCTGGCTGGCTGGTGGGTCCAGCAGAGCGAGCTGCTGTCTTCCATGGCCTTAATGCCTGAGGCACTGGAGTTGGTGGGCTGGCTGGGGCACGGGTAATTGTTGCAGAATGCCTGTTGTTTCACACCCCGGCTGTGAACAGGATGGAAGGGCTGAGGCTGTCCCTGTTTCCCTCTAGCTCCTGGGGGGTTTGCTTCACCTACGGCACCTGGTTTGGCCTGGAGGCCTTCGCCTGCATGGGGCAGACCTACCGAGATGGGTGAGTGAGTGCCTGTCCTCTGGTGGGCGGGGGTTCTCAACCCAACGCTGTCATGAGTGTTTTTTGCTTTGACATTTGATTTTAGGGGTGTTTTTGTTCATTTGTTTTTTGAGATGGAGTCTCACTCTGTCAACTGGGCTGACATGCAGTTAGTGGCCTGATCCTGGCTCACTGCAGTCTCGAGCTCCTGTGCTCAAGTGATCCTCCTGAGTAGCTGGGACCACAGGCGCCTGCCACCACCCCAGGCTCATTATTTAAAACTTCTATGTAGAGATGGGGTCTTGCTGTGTTGCTCACACTGGTCTGGGCTCAAGCGGTCTTCTTACCTCGGCCTTCCAAAGTGCTGGGGTTACAGGCATGAGCCACTGTGCCTGGCCTGTTTTTAATATTTTTAAACAGTGAGATAAGATCCCTTGTTGAAATGAGGGTGTTTCCCTGGTCCCACAGCGCTCCAGAGTTTCCTGACATGTATGCCGGAGGGACGCTTCTGGCCTCTGGCCCTTCCAGGCACACAGATGCCTTCCAACCCTGAGTAGGAGGATTAGGGTCCAGGGCCCCGCTGGACCGGGTTAGAAGGCAGGAGACCTCTGGTCGCAGCCCGGTCTCCAGCTGCCTCATTCTCTCCTAGCCTGGTCTCCAGCCGCCCCACTTTCTCCTAACCCGATCTCCAGCTGCCCCACTCTCTCCCAGCCCTGTCTCCAGCTGCCTCACTCTCTCCTAGCCTGGTCTCCAGCTGCCTCATTCTCTCCCAGCCCTGTCTCCAGCTGCCTCATTCTTTCCTAGCCTGGTCTCCAGCTGCCCCACTTTCTCCCAGCCTGGTCTCCAGCTGCCCCACTTTCTCCCTGCCCTGTCTCCAGCTGCCCCACTCTCTCCTAGCCCTGTCTCCAGCCGCCCCACTCTCTCCTAGCCCTGTCTCCAGCTGCCCCACTCTCTCCTAGCCCTGTCTCCAGCTGCCCCACTCTCTCCCAGCCCTGTCTCCAGCCGCCCCACTTTCTCCTAACCCGATCTCCAGCTGCCCCACTCTCTCCCAGCCCTGTCTCCAGCTGACCTGCTCTCTCCCAACCCTGTCTCCAACTGTCCCACTCTTCCGCATAGATGTTTAGGGGTGAGGAGCACCATACTTGGCTGGGTCCCAGCCCTGTCTCCAGCTGCCCCACTCTCTCCCAGCCCTGTCTCCAGCTGCCCCACTCTTTGCCGTGTGGATGTTTAGGGGTGTGGAGCACCGTGCTTGGCTGGCTGCAGGTTGTGAGACGCTGCTCCCAAGCACTGCAGACTTCGCTCAGCCTGACGCACCTGTGAGGCCATCCGCAGTACTGGCATGTCCCTTTGTCTTCCCAGCGACTCTGGGAGGCAGGAGTATCTGTTCCCAGTTCGCATCTGCAGAAGTCAAGCTCAGGGGTTTCAGTAGTGGCCTATGGCCCTTAGGTAGGGCGGCTCCTCCCCATACCCTAAGGCAGCCTGCTAGGGTAAGAAGCCAGGGGTCTGGGACCTTCCTTAGTGTGATGTGTCTCCTGTCTCTGGTCTTTGCAGGACTGCCTGTGCAGAGGTCTCCCGGGCCTGTGACTTCCTCCTGTCCCGGCAGATGGCAGACGGAGGCTGGGGGGAGGATTTTGAGTCCTGTGAGGAGCGGCGTTATGTGCAGAGCGCCCAGTCCCAGATCCACAACACATGTTGGGCCCTGATGGGGCTGATGGCCGTTCGGTAGGGACGACGGGACCCGTCCCTGAGCCTTGGGTTTGGGTGGAGGAGGGACACTCAGCTGTGAGCAGGTGGCCTGGGCTGAGTGAATGTAGACAGGAGGGGAGGCCTATGGGCCACGGGCTGTTCAGCTGCCACTCTGGGAACAGACACCTACAAGAGCCATGTGCCCGGTTCCTGGGGCAAGGACATGGGCTGCTGTCACCAAGTGGGGCCCTACAGAGAGGCTCGCCTCTTAGAAGTGAACCACCCACCATTAGCAGTGTCGGTGGAAGAGCAAGGGCATTAGGGACCCATGGAAACAGCGAGGTGGGCTGCGATGAGAGTGCTGCCTCCTGGTATGGTAGTGATGACGGTCACAGCAGCTGCTCTCTGTGGCCCTCCTGTGTCCACAGCTGGTGCTGAGCCACATATGTGCCAGGTGCACACACACGCACATGCATGCAGGCATGCACCTGCACACACTGATGTGCACACACAGACGTACGTGGAGACAGATGCACACACAGGTCTCTGTACACACGTATGCATGCACAGGCACCTGTGTACACACGTGTACAGATGTGCCTACAGCATCCTGTCTGTGCCATGCACAGACATAGGTACATGGAGACAGATGCACATACAGGTCTGTACACACACGTATGCACACACAGGCACCTGTGTCCACACACACACAGATGCACCCACAGTATCCCACCTGTGCCACACACAGACATAGGTACGTGGAGACAGATGCCATACACACAGGTCTATGCACACACGTACATACGCATGCACAGGCACCTGTGTAAACACATACAGATGCGCCCACAGCATCCCGTCTGTGCCACACACAGACATAGGTACATGGAGACAGATGCACACACAGGTCTATGCACACACGTACGCATGCACAGGCACCTGCGTACACACATACAGATGCACCCGCAGTATCCCATCTGGGTCACACACAGACATGTATGTATGCACACACTTACATACGCATGCACAGGTACCTGTGCACACACACATACAGATGCACCCGCAGCGTCCCGTCTGTGCTGCCGTATTAGGTTTGATCATTTGGGGAATCTTCCTAAAGCCCTGAAAGCTAGGGTAGGTCTGCTTGAGCAGAAGCAGCGGGGTCTGGGGGACCCCTGAGGGCAGGACAGTCACGGACCCACAGTTGAGCTGGGCCCACTGAGCCCTGGATCCTTCTTGGTGTCTCATCATGGCAAGCAAGCAAGCGTGAGCTCTTGTGGGTCTCCAGAGGCCTATGAGGACCAGTGGCCCAGGTGGGAACAAGGCTTGGCCTCCTCTTCTGGGGGGAACACCAGGGCAGGCCTGAGGAGGCCTGTGTCCCCAGCCTGTCATCGCTGTGGCTCCGCTTCTCAGGGAGTCTAGGAAGAAGGTGTGGCAAGAGCCCGAGGTGTTGATTGCACCTGGCGGGGCCTGTGGGTGTCAATTTAGATGCATCCGTGCTCACCGCAGCATTCCAGGGTTTGCCCTTATGCTCGGCTGTGTGAGGGTGAGGATGATGCTTGGAGGGCATGCACAATGGGTGTGTTTCAGCCTCCTCTTCCTCCAGGCATCCTGACATCGAGGCACAGGAGAGAGGAATCCGGTGTCTGCTTGAGAAACAGCTCACCAATGGCGACTGGCCGCAGGTACGCCGCCAGGGACCTGAGCGCACGAGGCCCAGCACCGACCTCCAGTGTGTGCCGCTGTTTCCACGTCCCCCTGCTCTGTGTCCTTTTTGGAGTATTTTGGACACTTGGGAGGCGTCAGCTCTGCCAGTGAATGCCAGAGTTGGTGGCGGGTCTGTGGCAGGTGGTCGGGTCCTAAAGTCCAGATCTTGCTGCTTTTTCAAGTGATGCTCTGGCTAGGGGAGGAGCTGGATGGGAGAAGCCAGTGGGAGGGAAGCCCTTTTGCTCCAGGACAGACCCTCCGGCTCCAGACGACCCAGTGGCCCCTCACTAAGCCGAAGTCCCTGTGTGGGCGTCACGAGGTCATGTGAGGCCGACCGCCCCCCACCGGGATGAGGCTGAGTTGGTGGAAGCTGATGTGGTCGTGAGGGGCTGGTGACCCCGGCTCAGGGTTTGCTGCAGGGTGGGGAGTCTGAGCTGGACTGACGGTGCCGTGACTGGTGCGGGATGGACGACCTGCTTTCCTGTGCGCTTGATTAGCCCTTTCCAGGCTGACTCACCCACAAGTCAGCCAAGCCAACAGCCAGGGCTCCAGTTCAGGGACCAGCCCTCAGCTGACTGGTGGAGCCTTTGTGTTTATTTCTCCGTGTTCTTTTAGGAAAACATCTCCGGGGTCTTCAACAAGTCCTGTGCCATCTCATACACGAGCTACAGGAACGTCTTCCCCATCTGGGCCCTCGGCCGCTTCTCCCAGCTGTACCCCGAGAGAGCCCTTGCTGGCCACCCCTGAGAACATGCCTGCCTGCTGGGTGCCATCGGTGTGTTCCAGTGAGGCCACGGGGTCCTGGCCGGGTAGGGGAGCCCTCCCATAAGCCTGTCTCGGGCTCCAGCCCCTCCACCTCTGCCTCATGGATGTGAATCTGGGGACCAGGCTGGAGGCAGGGATGGGGACAGGGTGGGTGGCTTAGACTCTTAATTTTCACTGTAGGTTCATTTCTGAGAGTAGCTTGTCGGGCTTGGGTGAGGAAGGGGGCACAGCGCCTTTGCCACCTCTGGTCAGGGCCTCTTCGAGGCAGTGAGGCTAGGAGGGTTTTTTCCGACCAATCGCTGAGTTCCTGGGAGAGGAGCAGCTGCGCCTGTGCGATTCCTGAGTGTCGAGTGGGCTTTGGGCTGGGGTCGGCCCTGGGCAGCCTGCTTTCCTGCACCTTCTGTCTGCTGGGCTAAGGGACACGAGGGCAGCCCTGTGACAATGGCATGTACGGTGTGCATCCGTGAACAGCCCAGTGTGGGGGTGCTCATGGAGCATCCTGAGGCTGTGCGGCAGGGAACCCCATGCCCCTGGGTCCTGAGCTCGCCTGTATATGTGGGGGGTGTCATGGAGCCCCACATCCGAGTCATGAGCTCACCTGCGTATGCAGGGGCTGTCATGGAATGTCCCAAGTCTGTGCAGCAGGGAGTCCCATGCCCCTGGGACGTGAGCCCACCTGTGTGGAATGTGGTTTGTGAGGTGCCTACAGGGCTTATAGAAGTCTTATGGTCACAGAAATGCACAGGGGAGGCCGAGGGTAACCAGGGGTGAGGGGCAGGCAGCAGTCGTGGTCACTGCCGCGAGACACTGCTATATGCAGGGACAGCCAGCGCCCAGCCCATCACCACTCCTTGGGCTGACTGGGCAGGTATGGCACCCTGGGAGCCCGGCATATGCCCAGGGCACCCCTACAGCTGCTGCCAGTCTCACGCCTAGGCAGGTGCTCTGGGCTGGAGCGAGGGCCAGGTTTTGGGTCGAGGCTTCCCCAGGTAATCCTGTGAGCTCCCTTCTAGCCTCTGACCCAGTCTGGTCTGGCTTGCATGGATGTAGGGCTTGGGATGGGAAGTTCAGGTCCTGGCTTTGCCTTTGAGTGATGTGGATGAGCAGCTCACGTGCTCAGGGCCACCCGAGACTGTCACTCTTCTCCCCTGGCTATTGGGAGGAGTCACTGAGAGCTTTGTTACCCTTGCTGCCTGCCCAGAGCACACTCTATGCCTCCTTATCTGCTCTTCCTCCCCTCCCTGCTGCCTCCTGGGAGCTGACAGCCCCTGGCCTCTCCCCCTGGCTAATTGCCCTCCCTCGGGCAGTGGAGGTCTGCGTCTGGACCCCCTCGGAACCTGTCATTTCCCGCCCAGAGTTCTTCAGGGCCAGCCCTCTGCCTTGGTGCAGGGTGCAGGGCTCTCACCCAGGCGCCGCACCCTCTGGGGTCTCCTGTCCAGCTCCCTTGCCCCACCTGCTGTCACTGACTCTCCTTGGGACTCACCTGCCTGCAGGGCCTGGTCAGCTGCCTGTTGAGTGTCAACACTTCTCTGCACATCTTAAAACTGGGGTTTATTTTCGCTGAAGGAACTGTGGTGGGACCCTTGACATCTGTCAGGTTTGCACATGCTGTTTTTTTTCTTAGCCCACGTGTTCTCCCTCACGTGGGGCAGCAGCAGGACAGAGAGTGAATCACAGAGTCTGCCCTGAGCAGAGGCTGCTGTCCCTGGGACTCCTAGCCATGGTCAGATCATTGTACAAGACAGTTTTCCAGAAATTAAATGTAAATCCATTTTCATAGTGAAAATGTTATTGAAAGTCACTTTTATGAGCAACTACCTTAATAAACAGACATTGATTCCCTTTTCAGAAGCCTGTCACACTGTGTTTCATTTCATCCTGGGGAGAACTGCAGATCTGGGGTTTCTGGCTGTCGTGCCTCACCTGCCTATAGGGCGAGTTGGAGGCCCAGCCTCGTTCAGGGAACAGGAGTGACATGAGGAGTAGCAGGGTGCATCTCCAGTTACCTGAGGGAAAATAGATATTTTAAGAGATAATAGCATAGCCTATTTTAATATCTTTTAAAGGCCATAAGCATATCCAGGAAGATCAATAAACGTGATACAATGTCCACATAGGAGGAACTTTCTTTCACTGCATTGTTTTCCTTCACAGTGGCCTTCAAGTCACAGGACACAGCGATCCGCTGCGCTCTTCGGTGTTTTACACATGCAGGACTTCAGCGACAGTATCCCTGCCCTCAGTCTTCCCGTTGTTCAGAGGGCGTGTATCTTTCCTCAGTCTTCCCGTTGTCAGAGGACGTGTATCTTTCCTCAGTCTTCCCGTTGTTCAGAGGGCGTGTATCTTTCCTCAGTCTTCCCGTTGTCAGAGGGCGTGTATCTTTCCTCAGTCTTCCCGTTGTCAGAGGGCGTGTATCTTTCCTCAGTCTTCCCGTTGTCAGAGGGCGTGTATCTTTCCTCAGTCTTCCCATTGTGAGAGGGCGTGTATCTTTCCTCAGTCTTCCCGTTGTTCAGAGGGCGTGTATCTTTCCTCAGTCTTCCCGTTGTCAGAGGGCGTGTATCTTTCCTCAGTCTTCCCGTTGTCAGAGGGCGTGTATCTTTCCTCAGTCTTCCCGTTGTTCAGAGGGCGTGTATCTTTCCTCAGTCTTCCCGTTGTTAGAGGGCGTGTATCTTTCCTCAGTCTTCCCGTTGTCAGAGGACGTGTATCTTTCCTCAGTCTTCCCGTTGTTAGAGGGCGTGTATCTTTCCTCAGTCTTCCCGTTGTTCAGAGGGCGTGTATCTTTCCTCAGTCTTCCCGTTGTTAGAGGGCGTGTATCTTTCCTCAGTCTTCCCGTTGTTAGAGGGCGTGTATCTTTCCTATTCCACGAAGAGGACTTTTTGTTCACAATTGGATCACGATGCAGAGGAGTCTGTTCCTTCCCCGTTGGCTTCTCTGGGTGCTGTGAGGGTGACGTGTCCCCGATGGCTCATCACCCTGACGTGCTCTTGACAAAGGAGACCACCAAGAGGAGATGGCAGCTGCACCTGTGCAGCCTCTGTCTGAGGGGGATATTTGCCTCAGTGTGATTAAAAATCAAGTTCACTATCCTGAGTAACTCACGAAAAATTTTTGAATTCAGATGATTTTTATCAGGAATAGATTTTGAACATTCTGAAATCTTTTCCCTGGCGTCATATTAGGTTTTCTTTGTTTGCTATGATGTAAAGTTTCAGACTCTTGATGTTTTTAATATCAACATAGACCGTGGGACAAGGAATGGTACCAGAAATAAGTAAAGAGACAATAATGATAAGATCAATTTATCAAGACATAACAACCCTAAATGTATATGCACTAAGTAACAGCTTCAAAATACATGAAGCGAAATGGCAGAATTGAAGAGAATGAGATGAAAACACAATTTTAATGGGAGCTTTTCGTACTTGTCTTAGCAACTGATAAACATGAGATCTATAAGGATAGAGATTTGAATATCAACCAACACAAGCGAGTGGTCTTTAGAGGATACCTCACCTAACAGTGGTGAAGCACACAGCTTTTCAAGAGCTCGGGGCCCATGTGCTAAGGTAGACCATAGCTGGCTCAGGAGCTGAGTGTCAGGATGTCAGCAAGGATGGAAGTCATACAGAGCATCCTTCCCCACCACAGTGGAGTCAAACCAAATTGAAAGTCAGTGACAAAGGAGCAAAGGCAGTTCAATGGAGAAAGGACAGTCTTCAACAAATGATGCTGAAACAACCAAACTTCATTAAAAAAAAAAAAAAAGAACCTTGACATAACCCTTCACATCTAGACACACTCAAGATGAATCAGAGACCTAGATGTGAAACTATAAAACCCCCAGAACATCACGTAGGAGGAAATCTAGGTGACCTTGGGTTTGGCAGTGACTCTGGATATGACACCAAAGGCATGATCCACAAAAGAAAACATCGATAGGTTGGGCTTCACTAACATGATACATTTTTGGCTCGCGCCTGTAATTCCAGCACTTTGAGGGGCCAAGGTGGGAGGGTCACTTGGACCCAGGAGTTGGAGACCAGCCTGGGTACCATAGTGAAACCCCATCTGTACAAAACAATCAAAAGATGAGGCAGGCATGGTGGTGCATGCCTGTTGTCTCAGCTGCTTGGAACACTGAGGTGGGAGGATTGCTTGAGCCTGGGAGGTTGAGGCTGCAGTGAACTGTGATTGCGCCGCTGTACTCTAACTTGCGTGACAGAGTGAGACCCTGTCTCAATAAAATACATTAATTAAACAAAGTTTCTGTTCTGTAAAGAATGTCAAGAAAAAGACAAGTCAGAGACTAAGAGAATATATTTGAAAAACACAAAGGATCAGTATCCAAAAGAGCGCTTCAAACCCAACAATAAAACAACCTGGTTAAAAAATGGGCCAGAGACCTTAACAGACGCCGTACCAAAGAAGATACCCAGTTGTTAAATAAGCATATGAACAGATGTTCCACATCATATGTCATCAGGGGAATGCAAATGAAAACGACCAATATACCTATTGGAGTGGCCACAACCCAGAACACTGCCACCGCCAAGTGCTGGTGAGGACGTGGAGTAACAGGAACTCAACCGTTGGCAGGAATGCAAAATGGTGCAGCCACTTTTTTTTTTTTTTAATTTCGTTTTTTTCCTTCTCTTTTAATAACTTGGGTAGGCACAGCCGCTGTGGAAGACAGCTTGGTGGTTTCTGACAAAACTAAACATACTCTCGCCATCTGTCCAGCAATTGCACTGCTTGGTGTTTACCCAAAGGAGTGGAAGCATTATGTCCACACAAGCACCTGCACACAGAGGCTGATAGCTGTTTATTCATAGCTGCCCAAATGTGGAAGCAACCAAAATGTGCTTCCGTAGGTGAATGAGTGAGTAAACTTCGGTGCAGCCAGACCGTGGAATATTACTCAGCACTAAGAGGAAATGAGCTATCAAGCCATGAAGAGACACGGAGGACCCTTAAGTGCATATTAGTAAGTGGAAAAGGCAGTTTGAAAAGGCTGCGTACTGTGATTCCAACTAGATCACACTCTCAAAGGTAAAACTGTGGAAACAGTAACAAGTCAGCGGTTGCGGGAGGTCAGGGCCCGGGGAGGGGTGAACAGGCAGAGTACAGAGGATTTTTAGGGCAATGAAACTGCTCCGGCCTGACACCGACGGTGGATATGGTCATCATATGTTTGTCCAAAGCCAGAGAATGTGCAGCCTCGAGAGTGAGCCCCACTGTAAACTGTGGGCTTTGGGTGGTGATGATGTGTCCATGTAGGTTCATCAGCCGTAACAAGTGGACTCTGCGACCGAGTGTGGGTATGCACACCTGTAGGCCCAGCTGCTTGGGAGGCTGAGGCAGGAAGATCTCTTGAGCCCAGGAATTCGAGGCTGCAGTGAGCCGTGATCATGCCACTTGCCCTTCAGCCTGGGCAGCAGAGCGAGACCTTGTCTCAAAAAGGTACCACTTTGGTGCAGGACGTTGATAATAGGGGAGGCTGTGCATTTGTTGGGCAGAGAGTGGGGAAATCTCTGTACCTTCCTCTCAATGTTGCTGAGAACCTAAAACTCCTCTAAAAACAGTCTTGAAAAAGACAAAAGCACAAAGGAAACCAGAGAATATTTCAAGTTGAAGGACAATAAAAACATGACATTAGAATTTGTGGGATGTAAAGCTTGATGCCCGGGCTCCACAACCACAGGAAACAGACAAACTACCTAACAGCCACAATTGTCAGCAAAACGCACGAGGGAAAAATAGAAACTGTCAGTAGCGTTGTGTCTATTTAATAAATTGATTTAGAAATTTAAAACCTTCCCAGAAGAAATCTAGTTCTAGGTAGCTTCACAGGTGAATTCTATCCGACGTTTAAGAAGGAACACCCGGCCGGGTGCAGTGGCTCAAGCCTGTAATCCCAGCACTTTGGGAGGCCGCGACGGGCGGATCATGAGGTCAGGAGATCGAGACCATCCAGGCTAACACGGTGAAACTCTGTCTCTACTGAAAAATA